TTTTAGAGATTTTTAATAAACTTTCTCTATCCTGATAACAAAGCCTCCAATAATATTCATCTCTAATTGATCTAAACGCTGGTTCATTGGTTTTCCTGTTATCACTCCTTTCACAGTTTTATTCTCTCCAATGACTTTTATCTCCATCATTTCTTTTCCCTCAGTGTCCAAAATCCAAAGCTTTGATTTTTTTTTGCTCCTCATTTTTCCAAATTACCAGAAATGTTCTTATTTATTTATCTGGAAATCAAAATGGGGCTGAAATGAATCTAAATATTATTTTTATTTCTTTTCTATCAACCTTCCTTCTAACATCTCTTTCTTCCTCTGAGCTGCTTTCTGACTATTCCACTTTATTTCCTTCATTCTCCAACCACCTCTCTCCCCTTTTCCCTCCTCTATCTCTCTTTCCCATTTCAAACTGTTGTCCAGCCTTCCTCATCTTCCTCATCTTCCTCCTCATCCTCCTCATCCTCTGACCTGCCAGGTCTTCCATCCACCAACCCATCAGGTCATAAACCAGCAGCAGGTGTTTCTCAGCTCCTCTATCATTTTAAGCAGGTGATGAACAACGGGAAGCAATGAGGGACATATTTAACAGGGAATATTAAATCATACAGAAACTCAGCAAATACGGAAAACTTGGAATAAAAAAAATAAACACTAAAATAACTAAATTATAGACTTTAAAGCTCTGGAATACAAAGACTTCATTTCTATTTTAAAGTAACAGTTTGTTTTATTGTTTATCGGTCGTCTTCCTGTCCAGGCCAGCAGGTGGCGGCAGAGCAGCAGTTTGCTGTTAGACCGAAGAAGAAGCAGAGGAAGGGACACCATGGCCGCTGCGGTGGGACGAGTGGCCCTCAGGTGGCCCCTGGCTGTCGGAAGGGCCCGCTGCCTCACGGCCTCCTGCCGACGGATGAGCTCCGAACCCAGAGAGGAGCTGAAGGTCCGCAACCTGGATGGAGAAGATTCTGGTAGGTGGAGGAGGTTCTGCTGGGTGGAGAAGATTCTGGTAGGTGGAGGAGGTTCTGCTGGGTGGAGGAGGTTCTGCTGGGTGGAGGAGGCTCTGCTGGGTGGAGGAGGTTCTTCTGGGTGGAGGAGGTTCTTCTGGGTGGAGGAGGCTCTGCTGGGTG